ACTTTCACAGTAGTTTTACACCGGGTGTTAGACCGCCGTGCGTGCACGGCGTAAACCCATTTAGTAGATATAGATATGAGGAATGTCCAAAATTAAAGTAAGTGTACAACTTTATCTTCGAAAAAAAATAGTGGTTTTTTTTTTTTCTTTTTGTTTCTTTCCCAAATTTGGAACTGGAAAGACAATGCTATTACCGTGCGCTGGCGTAGGTGTGCCAGGGCAAAAAATAAATAAATATGTTTCATTACAAAATGAACATGTGCACATGTTCATTTTGTAATGAAACATGTTCATTTTTTTTGCCCATGTTCATTTTGTAATGAAACATGTTTATTTTTTTTTGCCCTGACACACTTGCGTCATGGCACATCTAAATATTTGCGAAAGAAAATTGATATTAAATTCATCTCCTCACTAGTTCCAAGGATCTTAAATTTACAAATTGATCCGAATATTTTTTTAAACCAAATAAAAAATCATCATTTTTTCCGAAAAATGCAACCGGATTTTCATAACATTGCACCGATTTTTTTACCAAACAAATTGAATTGAAAGTAATTCTAATAAAAAATTAAAATAATTTATTAATGTTTATGCAACTGTCTATTTCCTAAAGAAAATGATATGAACTAATTAACCAAAAAAAAAAAAATTGATATGAACTTACCAAAATCTCGGTAAGTCAAACATGTGTTTTTTTCGAACTTTCCATTAATAGTAAGTCAAACATTATATTTATTTGGTCAAACTTTCTATTAATGTATTTTTTCGACAACCTCTTTATATATATATATATATATAAATAGATAAAAATTGCTCTCCCCTAAAATCACCGTCAGTCACATTTGGCCAAAATTACAAAGGACATTCTATTCACAAATTATTCAAAGAGTATACAACAATACAAACCAAATCCGTACACTAAAAGTCTACATAAACAAATTACACCCTTAATCCGTACACTAAAAATTTACATAAACGACTTACACCCTTACTAGAAGGGGGCAATCTACACAGCCAACCATCATTGACAAACCAACCTTGTTCTTCCAACTACTTGTCCAATGTCCACACATATGAATTGCAAGCCACGATTCACTACTATGAATCTTTCCTGTAACGACTATACGTGCTGAGGTTTACTTGAACAAATGCACTTCGTCTTCTTGTCCGTGAGCGTCTGCAAGATGGACTTTGACGTTCAGATTTTTAATAATAATCACGTTATTTTCTTTCTTTAATGTTGAGATGCATAATATTGATCACATTAGTTTCTTTACTTTCTCTCTATTTTTTGTTCTTCAGGTCCTATTTACCTGGACTTGTTTCTGGAGGTCTTTAATGTACCCAACGGCCAAGTCCAACATATCAGCTGTGCTCGTTTGCTGGGAATGAATAAGATACATAAAAAAAGGTACCCAAAAGGATAATAAGAGACGAACATGCTTCTTGTATAGACTGCGAAAGAATAGACGTGACAAAGAGATCACCTTGTCCATATTTGGAAAGAGATCTTGCAGCTTCTTCATCTTTTCACTAATCCTGCTTCGCCTCATCTGTGAATTAAAAACTGTAACTTTTGTTTGCGTACTTATTCCTGATACCGAAATGGCGATAACCACCTCACATATCGAGTTTACATAATTCACCAGATTTGAATAACATCAACAAAACATGGAATTACCAAGTTCTGTACAGAGTAAGAAGATGTTATTCGCAAATTGAGAATTTCGTGGAACCAAAAAGGAAAATATATATTATTGGCATATTAATAAATATCAAAATTTACCCTTTCGGCTATACTTCTCGGATGAGTGGCGCAACCTCTTTTGGCACGAACTTGACAAGGCACCGTCTCCGGTTGAAATTGCAACAATTTCACATTTTCTGCTGACCTCGGCAAGCTCAAATGGTGAACTAAACTCGACAGACCTCTACTACTTTCCCCAGTATTCTGATAACACAAATCAACCTCGTCAGCAATAAAAAACTAGCAAACAATCAATCAAAAAATAAATATAAAAAATGAAGGTAAATACATACCTGATTATCCAAGCCATTGAAATCCATAAACGCCCTCATTTCACCATCTCGATTCCTTTTCAGACTGTCACCGAAAGGCGAATCGTTCCACGAGTCGTGTGGGAAAGCTGCCTCAAATTCTCGTACATTTGCATTGTTACCGTTTCTCAACTGCTCATTCTCAAGATTATGTGTGCCCATGCTTTGGTTCACATGATTGGGTACGCTAGGCATGAGCCTCATGGACCTCGAACACAGAGCAGGTGAGGAGAAGTTCAAGTGAGTGCTCATGCCATTTGTTGATGAAATAGCATGTGCCTGACTGCGGACAATTGCTTCTGTCATTTACATCAAATCCTTACACCAATTAGAATGCTTTAACTAATCTATCCATTCTCAATAATGTTACAATAGCAGAATTTTGTCCATGAGTGTGGTTGAAGTTGGATGGAACTAACTGTGTACTGCAAATTCAATGTATGCAATGTAATCCAATAATAATAACCTCAGCACTTCATTTACTTTAAGAAAACAGAATAAAACACTTACATAAAATTTATCCATGAAACTATTTACTTAGCTAAGCTTTTGTTCTGCTTGCAAAGAACACTGAAAAGATGCTAATGAAATATATCTCATCGGCTTTAAAATCGAAGATGAGGCGATAATATTCGAAGATGTGAAAGAATATGTTCAATAGCATCAAGAATTTTATTTC